CACTATAGGTGAATTGGGTAAGCTAAATTATCTGTAGTGTGTGCGAATGGGTGTTTATGGATGTTTTCCAGTGATGGGTTGCAGCTGGAAGGGCATACGCTGCACGCGTAAAACGTATGCTGGATAAATTGGCGGTTCATTCTACTGTGGTGATCCCGGATTAATATAGGGACTAAGCTGAAGAAAAATTAATGAGTATTAAATGAGTATTTATGGATGTATTATATCATCTTTGAGTCAAATTACCAAACACGAATTGCAACTTGTTCGAGGTGTTTGTAATGCAGCGTCTATAAGGCAGGACAGTAAATTTGATGTTATTCTGTCCTCTGGCTGCAGTTATCAGTCTCACAGTTTTTTCCCTTTTTTTTCTGATAGTCTTGATTAAAACCGTTGTGGGTTTTTTTTATTGTATTATTTCAGCAAATAGGACTATAAAAAAAAAATATAAAAAAAAGATTTGAGATTTTTTGTGCTCTACCATTCTCCCACACAAGTTTACCCAACTATGACTATGTATGCTACTGAGAAACATGGAAATGCTAAAAGGGTCTATTGCAGTAAATTTTCTGATATATGCTTTTATCTTGAGTGAATTAAAGACGACAAAAGAAGAAATTAAATTAGCAAAAGAGCAAAAATATGTTGGTTCTGCATAGTCTGTTGATGTGACTTTAAGGAAAGGAATGAAGTTGGCTGCAAATATCATCTATTCATTCACTTTCCCTTGGCTTAGTCTCTTTTTTATAAAGTGTCGCCACAGTGGAACGAACCACAACATACGCCAGAATATGTTTTATACAGTAGATGCCTTTCCAGCCACAACGCAGTACTGGAAGACACCCATACACTCTGTCAAACTCAAACACACAATCTTATACAGAAAATGCTAATTTTGTTTACGCAATTCATCTATACACATGTCTGTGGACTGTTGGGAAAACCGAAGCATCTGGAGGAAACCCACGCAGAGGTCTGCACGGGACTGATTTTTTAAAAATCCTGCTCTTGCTAGGTTTTATTCCGCACCAGACCGCTCACATTGTATATTCAGTCTTTGTTCACCTGTTGCTCACTTAAAATATTTTCTACCAAACTGTTCCTGCTAAATTTAGATCTGGTTTCCAAAATCTCACATTTAAATTGGATACTACCAAAATCGAGAGATAACAGATAAAGTGTAGGCTGTGCAAGGATTGTAGGCTAAATGTCAGTTTTATTTGCCCCTTTGTGATAAGTGCTACCTTAAACCTGAGCTTCCAGTCTTGTGATTGCTAAAGGGTAAAACTTTGAGATATTATCACATCGCGCAAAGGGTAATTGTTTTTTTCCATTTGTGTCTATGACACGTGAAACAGACTCCCATACAACAGACTTGCCTGATGTGGGTTTCCTAACAGTAAACTGACCGTTTTCTAATGCAAGCTGAACGTTCTTTAAGGACAGTGCATCTTCAGTTTGCTCTGCCATGGTAAAGCCCACTCTGAGGACTGTTATGCAGAAGATGTGTGAAAAAAAAAACATGAGCAGAAAGCCGTGATCATGCGTTCAGCATGTGTAACAGTCGTGAGCACTGGCTGCACTAGTGCTCAATTATAGTTGCATAAAATGGTACCGCGGAGCTTCCGAGATGCAAGTGTGTGCGTGTTCATATAGAACTATGAAGTAGGAGGTGTAGATTTAGCACTTTCGTTACCAAAAATAAGCATGTTTAAAAAACTAAATAAATAAATAAAAATTATCAGCGACAGGAGAGGACATCCTCACTACGCTGCTGCATAGGCCTACCTCACTGCACTGATCTGCTTTCCTTCTATCCCTGATGATGCTGGAGTTTGTACTCGGTGGTTACTCAAATTCCGTTGGGATCATTTCAGTCCTACAAAAACTACTATTGAGTAGTGCACATCCTAAAGATAATTTTACTTTTCTGGTGGACTGAAAAAAGGGAGTTATTCCTTGTGTTTTTGCATGAAACAACTATACCCTAACCACACCGAGAGCTTGGGATCATCAACCTAGATGCTCCATCTTAGAGACCTCTCTGTCTGACTACGAGATGAGAACCACAAACGGCACCAGATCATGTTTATATATCATGACTACATACATGTATGTGTAAATATATATTTTATAAACGCTAGATGCATTATAATTTATTAATAGGATGAACAATGCAGCATTGTGTTTAATAATGGAGTATCTTTATTTAAACATATTAGTGGTTACCAGGCAAAAGAGAGACTCAACTGATATTGAGAGAGTTTGCCTAATTGTGTGCGTTATGTTGATTAATATCTAAGAAATGCTAATGCTGTAGTAAATTATTATATTTTAAGGAAGTTTTATTGTATTATTACTACTATTCATTCATTCATTCATTCATTCATTTTCTTGTCGGCTTAGTCCCTTTATTATTCCGGGGTCGCCACAGCGGAATGAACCGCCAACTTATCCAGCAAGTTTTTACGCAGCTGATGCTCTTCCAGCTGCAACCCATCTCTGGGAAACATCCACAAACACACATTCACACACACACTCATACACTACGGACAATTTAGCCTACCCAATTCACCTGTATTGCACGTCTTTGGACTGTGGGGGAAACCGGAGCACCTGGAAGAAACCCACGTGAAGGCAGGGAGAACATGCAAACTCCACACAGAAACGCCAACTGAGCCGAGGTTCGAACCAGCGACCCAGAGACCTTCTTTCTGTGGAGGCGACAGCACTACCTACTGCGCCACTGCCTCGCCTATTGCTACTTTATTACTAATATTTAAATTTACAATCTGTGATATTATACATCTCATATGCATGTATGCATGTTGTAAAGTGTGAGTGTGTTGAAAGCTTGTACTCTGTTGTCTGTTGAGAGACGCAAAACAGACTCGGCTGATATTAAGAGAGATTGCCTAATTGTGTGTTATGCAGAAGCAAAATGAAATCACCTTCACATGACCATGTTTGAGTCAAGCTTCTTTTTTAATAATAAAATAATGATTTTAACAACGCAGAGAAAAACCTTCATCTCTTCCGTCATAGTTCTATGCGACTGGATATGAACACACACACACTTGCAAATCGGAAGCTCACCGGTGCCATCTTGTACAAGTAGCCTATTAGAATGAGGAAATCACAGATACGCTGTTCTGAAATAACGTCAGGACTCTACAGCCTGATCCCATAAAAATTACACCAGAGTTACCGACTGTTACGTGTTTATGATGTTAAAGTGGGATGCTGTAACATTTAAGTGAGACAGGTGTAATGTGTGCGACAGATCAAGAATGAGGCAAGGATCAGTTACTCTTATTTAAGCTTTTACTCAATATTTAAAAATTGTAACACTAATAAATGGGGGGGGGGGGGGGGGGGGGGGGGGATAAACATTTATGATTATTATCTTTAAACAAAAACAACAAGTGTAAGCCAAATCAAAGAAATTAGCAAAACAAAACAATACTTAAATCTAATGTCTAAACTAGGCGTCAAAAAGAAACACAAATAAAAACCGAGATCTTCAGTGTATACGACACCCGAACTAAACTAATTAAACTACAAAACTCAAAAATACACGGGTGGCAAAACACTCAAACTAATCTAACAAAACATCAATCTAAACCAAAACGAAACAAACCGGATAAGTCTGTCAAAGCTTAGTTTAGAATCACACAACAACCATCATACTATGTTACATAAAGCCAACGAAGTTCAACAAGCAAACTCGAATTATCACAGTAACTTTATTTATTATACAACAGAAATTTATTCCCACACCGCAAGAAATCTGGTTGGGTCCTGTGGTACATGAATGCAGACCTCTAAACCTACATGAAGTGTGGAGAACATGCAGAAATTCCAACTGGCCCAGTCGGGACTCAAAACAATGAACTTCTTGCTATGTAGCGACAGTGCCAACCACTGAGCCATCATTGCAAATATCAGTGTATTGAATTTGTTGTACATGGCTTCCAAGTGCAAACTGATGAACAGAGGGGAACCAGGTAAATTTGCTAGTTAAATGAGCTATATTAAAAAGACTTGTAACATCAAAATACCTTTAAGGCAAGTAATTTCACCCTGCGGCAATCTTTTAAATGCCTCTAAGTCAGTATGCTCGGGCACTCTGCTTGAATGGGGAAACATCAAATTCTTCAAAACTGTTAGTCAAGCTTACGATTACGATGCAGATTTGGAATCACCAATACATCTAAACAAAAACATAGGTCTCATAGGTTTTATTTCTAAACGCCAGAATTAAACAAAATCAGAATATTTTCAGGTTGTCCGAGCTAATGTGCATGCACACTCAAAAAGAAGGAGATCATGACACCAACCTCATTTATGGCTGATGCACATTATTATCCTGTGGATATTGATCGTCTGATCGCGCTGCTCTTCTGACGTAATTCACAACTTGGTCTTGATAGTGAATCTCTGGCAGAAATGACAGCAACTCTGTAAGTTTGTGGGTGTTCGAGTAGTTGCTGTGAAGTGATGTGCATTTCACAGGCGGGCTGTACCTCGTATTCATTTCATACAGATTACAAAATCAAAAAACTTTACTTTTAAATGAAGCAAGTGCACTTATAAAACAGAGTTTAAGCTTTATGTGGATATATTTCTTATGTCTGTGAAGCAAGTATTCACTGAGATTCCAGTGTGTTTGTTGATCAATAAACTGTTGTAATGTAAAAGCACCAGTCTGGTCCGAGTTTCTCCCCCCAAAAATCGTCAGTCTACAGCGATCGCTGATTGGCTTCTGTACTAGAAGGCGGGGCTTCATTTGCCATATTGACCGTTACACATTTCCTTATTCAAAACTATGCGAGTGACATGTCTCGTGTATTCTATAGTCTTTGGTAACATTACCAGATTATTCTTTTAAGCTTGTTACATTACAACGCCTTTAATATAATATATTTGCGTACATTCATCTGTTAATTAGGAGTACTCTAGATACTTAATCTGAGTCTAAAGTGGTTTCTGTCCTTCAGGTGTGTTTGCTAAGAAACTAAAAGTGTCTGTGTCAGTGACTGAAGGAGATTCTGTTACTCTAAACTCTGGTGTTACTATAATACATTGGGAGAACATGCTGTGGAGTTTTGGAGCCGAAAACACTCTTATAGCTAAAATCAACATTAAGGAGCAAATCTTCTCCACATTTGATGGCACTGACAGATTCAGAGACAGACTTAAGATGGACAGACAGACTGGATCTCTGACCATCACAAACATCACATCTGAAAATGCGGGAATTTATAATCTTGATATAAGCGGGAAAAAATGGACATCAAAAATATTCAATGTTTCTGTTCATGGCGAGTAAAGTTCTTTAATCCTTCACAAATTCTTCAACAATTTACACTCAAACTCTGTACTGAAAATCTCTATTCTCATGTTTTCCAGCACGTCTGCTTGTTCCTGTCCTCATCTTCAACTCTTCTCTGTGTTCATCATCCCAGTATAATTGTTCAGTGTTGTGTTCAGTGGTGAATGTGAGCGCTGTGAGTCTCTCCTGGTACAAAGGAAGCAGTGTATTGTCCAGCATCATTGTGTCTGATCTCAGCATCAGTCTCTCTCTACCTCTGGAGGTGGAATATCAGGATAACAACACCTACAGCTGTGTGATCAACAACACCATCAGCAACCAGACCACACATCTGGACATCAACACACTCTGTCAGCCGTGTCCAGGTATGTTGATTTTAACATTCAACCCCATGATTGTTAAACTATAAACAATCAGTAAAATGTTGTTGCTGTTTGTTTAACTGGGTACAATGAGTAGGTATTACTCTTCAACAGTTCATCCACTGAACGGGTGAGCAGCTATTCTGCTTTTTATGGGAAAGTATTTTACATTCTTTTTGTCTTCGCTTTAATCGGACCCTAAAAATGTGCATTATGATGCCAAATATGGGCAAACCCAATTGTTGATTTCAATTTTAATTTAAAATAATGTAACCCAGCCGTTGTCCATATTTGACTCAAAGTTGAGTTCACAGTAAACACAATACACCACAATAAAAAAGTCATAATAATTGCAAAAGGTTGTTATTTATATATGCAGCTCTCATGTTTTATTTGTTTCAACTCAAAATTTGGGTTTAAAAAAAGATTTAAATTTAATTAAAAAAATTAATCCAACATTGGGTTTGTCAATTTATGACCCAGGTGGCGCAGTAAGTAGTGCTGTCGCCTCACAGCAGGAAGGTCGCTGGTTCAAGCTTCGCTGGGTCGGTTGGCATTTTTGTGTGGAGTTTACATGTTCTCCCAGTGCTGGTGTGGGTTTCCCCCACAGTCCAAACATATGCGTTATAGGTGAATTGAATAAACTAAATTGACTGCAGTGTATGTGTGTGAATGTGTGTGTATGAGTGTTTCCCAATGATGGGTTACAGCTGGAAGGGCATCCGCTGCGTAAAACATAAGCTGGACCAGTTTGTGGTTCATTCTGCGGTGGCGACATTATTAAAAGGACTAAGCCACAAAGAAAATGAATGAATGAATTTATGATCCAACATTGGGTTAATACAACCCAGCATTTTAGTGACAAAATATTCAACTATAGTTTTGATTACAGATGATGAATGAGTGGAAGGAGGAAAGGAGCCAGTGTGGAATAAAACGTCCAGCTCAAAAGTTCAAAGTGAACTAATTTTAGTAAAATGGATGTAATGTTTGTCTAGACTAAAAACCAATCTGGATTCTTATAACCAAATTTTAGGTCAAATGTAGAAAAAAAAACAAAAAATTGGGTTTAAAAAAATATTTAAAAATATTAACCAAGCGTTGTTGGAAAAAATAACATAATTTGAGATTGTACTTAAGCAAATGAAATGTAATTTCCCAGTCTGTTACTCTGTTGATTATAATCTGTAACTCCAATTAAGACTGTTCAGGTTTGATGGATGAACAGTTTATTGTCAGTCTTAAAAATCTGTATAATCTTTTTGTCTAAAAGTGTCAATAATACGCTGCCTTCCTAAAACCTGTAAAAATAATAAATAAAAATAAAGGAGCTAATCTTATTTTCAATCCTCAAATCTAATTTAAATGAGGAAACAACATCTTTATTGCAAACTCCATTTTTGATTAAAGTAGAGGTTTATATTTTTTAATATTACCTATATAAGTGTAAAAAGCTTAGCAAGACACTATCCATAAATGTTAAAGCAGCAGATTCTTATTGAGAGTGTGTGTGTGTGTGTGTGTGTGTGTGTCTGTGTGTGTACCTAGTTTTTGTGGTGTAAAAATGGTTTAGCTGGCATGGCAAACGTTGTATATAAAATATGAAGAAAATATGAAAAAGAAAATGTTTTTTTATGTTTGGAGAAAAAAAAAACTTAAAAAAAAAAAACTAAAAAAAAAAAAACTAAAAAAAAAAAAAAAACTATTTTCATTTAGTTTTGGCCTGCTGTTAAAATTGTGCACGGGTCATTTTTGATCTGCAAGTCAACAGGAGAGAAAAGCTTAATTCAATTTTAAAGAAGATCTTGCAATGTGAAAATCTTTCAAAAATGCTGGATGCCATTTCAACCCAATTGAGCAAATTATTGACACTTAAATGTTGGGTTAAATTGAGCATATAGTGTCAATAATAATAATAATAATAATAATAATAATAATAATAATAATAACCCAATGATGGATTGAGCACTTTTCTTTTTACCAAAATTGGGCTCACACGCTCTCTCTTAGACACACACACAATACTTTATATAACACTTCACATAAAAGCCAGAAACTATGGACGGATGATCAACAGTAAGAAAAAAAATAAAAATAAAAAATTATTAAAAATATATATAAAACTGTTCAAAAGAAAGCACAACGCCAAATGTACCTCACTTTTCACTACAGTATGTTACTGAATTATTTAAAGCATAATCCTATCACTTGATTTTTTCGTCTCAGTTCTTGTGATTGTAAATTTTCACACCAATTGCAACATAGCTTGACCCACAATAGTCGCATGCAGAAAAAGGTGAATGGGATACAGTGCAGCAGTTTGACTGTGTTGTCGATCAGACAGATTCACTTTCATCATTGACTTATTTTCATCTATTACAGATGAGGATCTGCATCTGTTCAACATTGTGTGGATTTGTGCTGCTGTTGGGTCTCTGTTGATTTTAGTGTCTGCCGTGATGTGCTGCATCTCCAAGAAATGTAGAAAAACAGGTTAGGTCTAAAATGTTTAAAGAAAATATTCACAAATATTATTGACATCACTGTTTTAACACATCTGTTTAATGCAGTTCATAACTGTGAGGAAGACCAATCTGATTCAACATTGTGTAAAGAAAAATCACGAAAAAAGGTAAGAAACTTCAATGACATCTAGCAATACGTTGGTGCAGTGTAAGTTAGTGCAGTTAAAGTTTGCTGATTGAAGTTTTGTGCTTGATGTGCATCAGAGAGTCAGTGAACAGCACTTGGCCAACTGTCATCATTTTTACCACTAAATACAGAACAGATCAAAAGAACAGTTTAAGCATGCTTTTACGTACATATGTGCCTATACTAAACCAGAGTATGCCATTTTGCAAATTCTTTGCATTTTAAAAAAGGTATGTTTCATGTTGCGGATTATATAAATGTTTCAGAATTCTTTTTGTAACAAAAAAAAAAATCATTAAAAAGCTACTTAAATAATTACAGTAAAAATACATGTCTATAAAAAATGCATTGAACCTGTTTTTCATTTTTAATCAGTCCATTTCCTGCTGTATAACGGGTGTAGTGATGGTTTTTCTCATGGGCAGATTTAACCATTAAGCAAGCAGTCGCTTAGGCCCCTAGAACTCTTGCAGGACCACAATAAATATATAGATGTTTAAATAATATCTATAATCTATATATAATGTTGCTATCTGTCCTATTTTATACAGTCGGAGTCAAGCAATTACAATTTTAACAATTAAATATTATTAATATATGGTAAAATCTAATTTTAATAAATGTAATTTTACGTAATAATTTAATATATCCACGACCCCAATCTACAAGCAGTTCAGCAGTCAAATTTATAAAAACCACATATTTATTATTTATTTTTATTATTTTTAGTTTTAAACTCTTAAAAAAAATAAATACATAAAACAATTTAAATATAGTGATAACATGTAGAAAAGGAAATTGAGTGATTATATATATATATATATATATATATATATATATATATATATATATATATATATATATATATATATATATATACACACACACAAAATGGATAATATAAAAATAAAATAACTCATAAAAATAAACAAATAAAAATGAATAAATAAATAAATAAAATAAATGAATAAAAATAAATATAAATTAAAAAAAGAAAAATAAATAAATATATAAAAAAAGAAAACAGCAACGGTTTCAGAACAGCTGATCTGAGTTGGGTCAATCAACTTTGAGTAGACCAACTCAGAGTTAAGCGCGTGCACCATAACTAAAAAGGCATTATCAATGGAGCGCAGATTTTACGAGTGACTTTTGCAATAACTTGCATAAGAGATCACCATTTTTTCTCCAGCTGAATTTGCCAGTATGAACAGTTAAAAGCAACACATGTCTCTATCACACTGCAGCATGACGATATCAATCTGAACCTCTATAATGGCAGTCTATGGGACCGTTGCTAGGTTGCCGTATCTGGTTGTTAGGGGTGTGGCTAGAAAGTTAAAAGCTCATCAGTTATTGGCAGTTAGGTAGTCTGAGCGAAATGAGCCCAGTTAGAAGTCTGTTGGACAGTCTGATGCAGAGTTATGAGGTCACAAAGTTTGGTCCAATGTTAAGTCAATAGGATTTTTCCGACGGTCCCGGGACGTTTTTCGGAAAACTGAAAGTCGGATCAGTCGGAAAAGATATAGCAACACGAGTCAAACCAGTTTGGAGGTCTGGTGTGAGTTTGGTGGTCATAGCTTGAAAGCTCTAGGAGGAGATAGAGTTTAATTTTTAGTCTCAGAAGAAAAATAGGATAACCATAGTCTGGCTTGCTACACAAGCCAGCCTAATTAATTTAGGCTACTTGTCCCTACTGAAGGTCAGTGAATTTAAGCTTTATTTATTAAAAAAGGACAAGCCATTCTCGTCCGCGACTTTGTTCTTTGTGTGACTGAAAATGTAGGCAATAGCTATGTCTCCATTGAATATTATTAATTAAATTTATGTGCAAAACTGGATTATCGCATAAAAGATATGTGCCAATTAAGCAGCATTTCCATCCAACGAGTCAAAGAGAACAAAATCGTCACTTCTTGATTAAACGGGCACCAAATTTTAACAGTAAAAGCTGAATTTACGGTAGAAGAAGCTGCGGCAGTGTCAATCTTTTCTATGTTTAATAAATGTACTTGCGCCTCAGAAGACAATGCTGACACACAATGAACATGTGGGGGCCTTTGAAGCCATGAGACGCGGAGAACAGAAGCTCTTAACATGCTCCAGACGCTCTGGAGGTCATTAATAATATGATACCATTAATACTGAAATGGTTAAGGATTTTTAGAATAAAAGAGCAAAACAACATTTAAGATGTGTTACAGTGTGCTCAGCCTGCTGGTTTGTCCGTTCACACACATTTTCATTATCAAAAAACAAATCTTTTTTAAAATGTACATGATGAAATTTGTTCAGTAAAAGTGTTTTCATTGTAGTTTATGCGCATCTTTTCTATTGAATAAAAGTTTATCCTACTCAGTTATGTGCGGGTTTTTTATGCATATTTTAAAAAAGTTGTGTATCATGACGTTTCCATCAATCGTTTTTATGCACATCTCCAAAATGAGCATTAAAATAGGTGGGTGGAAACGTAAGGCTAAGGTGAGAAATACCGCTTTATCTTTAAAAAAGGGGAGGAGACCAACAAGAACTCAGAGTTTAGAGAATAAAACCTGCCCCTGACCAGGTTAGATTCACAGAGTAAGTTACCACAGTAACTGACTCTGAGTTAAAGTTACCTCTCGTTCAGAAACAGGCTTAATTTACTCTGCTTTGTCGAGTTTAACAAACCTGCCATTTTGAAAAGGAAAGCCCAGAGTTTCTCTCATTTCAGGGTTAAAATACTTAACCTCCTTTCTGAAACAGGCCCCTGATCAACTTTGGGAGTAAAACATGTTTGGTTCTACATGTGTTTGGGATTAGCAGCCTATACTGAATAAATTATTTTATAGTATAATAATACATTATCATTATTATTAGAAAAGCAATGTAATTTAGAGAGAAATATAGACTGGCCTATACATTTTCTGTTGTTATAACATAAGATTCCTGACTGAGTTTTTTTTTTTTCCTTGCAGAAATCAGACATGCAGGCTGTTTATTACAATGTCCCTAAAAGACGGTGATAGTATCTAGCCTATAGGCTTACTGGAACCAGTGTAAGAGCTCAGCTTTCATCTTTCATCAATCCTTTTTGTTTCATTTCAACGCTTACTTTCTGCACAGATAACTACTTTGTTTTGTCCTTGCATATTTGGTGTAATATTATTATTATAAATTTATTGTAATAATTTTGTTTGTATTTATAAGTTTAACCAACAGCACTTAGAAATGTAACCACAAAAAAAATCTATAAAATCTATTCTATCTAGTTTACTGTGTGTATAAATGAACATTAGCTATTAAATACTGATCACATCCTTCACTTTATTTCTTTCTGTTATTAACTGTTATGGTTCTTATTCTTTTTTCAAACAACTAAATGAATATGGAGAATTGCAATGTTGTTTACATCATAAGACATTATCAAACGTAACCAAAACATCATCGCCCTCTAGTGTCCTAAAGGGTGGCGGGGGGGGGGGGTCATTTACATGATAAAGTATGCTATAAATTAACAGGTTGTTTATAGTGTTGGCGCCAAATACCCAGTAGTGTAAAAGAGACTATTTTATTGCACTTTGCTAGGTAAATGTAAAATGTAAGAGGTACGTTAAAAAAACATGGTAGGGATTTCCATGACACAGAGTTTCATTCTGAATTTTAAAATGAACACAATGTTAATGTTTTTATTGATTTATTTAACTTAAATGTCACATTTAATACTATTGGACCAATGAGATTGGTATGTGAGTGCAAGTAATGATTGATGGTTTTCAAGAACACACATTTGTATAATGACATGATCTATAGAATTTCAATGTTAAGGTCGTTAATGAGGACGAGCCTCGTGTCCTTAGGGCTCAATTTTCCTTTAAACCTCTTTATAAAAAAATAATAATAATAATATTCACTGACGATACTGAACTATACCTTTCATTCGTACCTGCTTTATTTAATCTTTTTGAATTTTATAAAATGATTTATGATTCTATTTTTCGAATCATCTATTAATGTACCTTTATTATACTACTACATTACATCTAAAGTGCTTTGAGCGTTAAGAAAGCATTAAATACAATGCAACAAATTATCCTACTATTATTATTAATATTATTATTATTATTATTATTATTATTATTATGAAGTTTGTTGGACTGAACAGGATTCATGTAAACACCTTATTTCTATATTTCTAAGCTATTGCTATCAGATTGAAACTGGTGACTTTAACTGGTCATTAGGAATTAAAGCAAACATTCACTTAATACTTAAACAGACAGAAACACAAGTCACAGTTTGCAATATTAATCTTTACATTTGTTGTTAGCTTTGATTATTTGACTCTTTCTGGAGTATTTATCAAAAAATAGCTCTGTTAGAAGAGATGAACAGGAAATCATCTTTTAGTGTCTGTTTGTCCAGAATTCACCTGACCAGAGGTTATTGTGCGTCTAAAGAAAATCAAACCACAGCAGGTTTCAGTTTGACTCGCGTTGAGTTGCTAATTATCACACCTCTGACAAAGTGAGATAGCTGACAGTTTCAACTCTGTTTTTTTTTCCATTAATCCCCTCTGCATGATTACAAAACCCTTTTTTAAATCTATAATTAAAAGATTCATTACATGATGACATAAGATTGTCACTGCATTACTGATTTTGCATACAGCATGTGTTCAGAGTGTGTGGTTGTAAACTATACAAGGCTCTGTCTGTACACATTTGCGCTTTAAAATATATTTTGGTCTTTAAAAAGCACAGAATAGCACCTAAAAGCTGCAAAAGTTAATCAGTACCACCCCGATGACAGCTTTTGTACCTTTATTTCTGAGAGTGTGTTGTGGGAGGACTCACAGACCAGATGAAGAAGCTGGGCTTCAGCGAATAATCACACTTTTTTTAAACACGCTTGCAAAAGTCAACACTCCAAAAGTCAAACACGCTTAAAGGAAATGGTTCACATTTTTGCTTCGTTCTTGTTGTGCTGGTGGCTTCCAATTGGTAAGTTATGAATGATTTATCAAATGACTTTTTCAATTTCAGATTATTATCTGCTAACATTATATACAGTTTATGCATTTTCTTTTAAATCCACAATGATTAAATTAATTATTGATCAGGGTGCCAGTTTTAAAATAATTTACAGTATACACTAATCTGAAACTATTGACCATTTTCACAACAGTGTTATGACGTGTTTAACAGTCATCATATTCTTAACTCATTAAAAGTTTTTAATACTTCAATTTATTTTAAAAATGTATAAACATTTGGCGTCACTATCGCCTCACAGCAAGAAGGTTACTGGTTCGAACCTCAGGTGGGTCAGTTGGCATTTCTGTGTGGAGTGCAAAGACATGCACTATAGGTAAATTGGGTAAGCTAAATTATCTGTAGTGTGTGCGAATGGGTGTTTATGGATGTTTTCCAGTGATGGGTCGCAGCTGGAAGGGCATATGCTGCACGCGTAAAACAAATGCTGGATAAATTGGCGGTTCATTCTGCTGTGGTGATCCCGGATTAATATAGGGACTAAGCTGAAGAAAAATTAATGAGTATTAAATGAGTATTTATGGATGTATTATATCATCTTTGAGTCAAATTACCAAACACGAATTGCAACTTGTTCGAGGTGTTTGTAATGCAGCGTCTATAAGGCAGGACAGTAAATTTGATGTTATTCTGTCCTCTGGCTGCAGTTATCAGTCTCACAGTTTTTTCCCTTTTTTTCTGACAGTCTTGATTAAAACCGTTGTGGGTTTTTTTTATTTGTATTATTTCAGCAAATAGGACTATAAAAAAATAATAAAAAAAAGATTTGAGATTTTTTGTGCTCTACCATTCTCCCACACAAGTTTACCCAACTATGACTATGTATGCTACTGAGAAACATGGAAATGCTAAAAGGGTCTATTGCAGTAAATTTTCTGATATATGCTTTTATCTTGAGTGAATTAAAGGCGACAAAAGAAGAAATTAAATTAGCAAAAGAGCAAAAATATGTTGGTTCTGCATAGTCTGTTGATGTGACTTTAAGGAAAGGAATGAAGTTGGCTGCAAATATCATCTATTCATTCACTTTCCCTTGGCTTAGTCTCTTATTTAAAAAGTGTCGCCACAGTGGAACGAACCACAACATACGCCAGAATATATTTTATACAGTAGATGCCTTTCCAGCCACAACGCAGTACTGGAAGACACCCATACACTCTGTCAAACTCAAACACACAATCTTATACAGAAAATGCTATGTTTACGCAATTCATCTATACACATGTCTGTGGACTGTTGGGAAAACCGAAGCACCTGGAGGAAACCCACGCAGAGGTCTGCACGGGACTGATTTTTTAAAAATCCTGCTCTTGCTAGTTTTTATTCCGCACCAGACCGCTCACATTGTATATTAAGTCTTTGTTCACCCGTTGCCCACTTAGAATATTTTCTACCAAACTGTTCCTGCTAAATTTAGATCTGGTTTCCAAAATCTCACATTTAATTTGGGTACTACCAAAATAGAGAGACAACAGATAAAGTGTAGGCTGTGCAAGGATTGTAGGCTAAATGTCAGTTTTATTTGCCCCTTTGTAATAAGTGCTACCTTAAACCTGAGCTTCCAGTCTTGTGATTGCTAAAGGGTAAAACTTTGAGATATTATCACATCGCGCAAAGGGTAATTGTTTTTTTCCATTTGTGTCTATGACACGTGAAACAGACTCCCATACAACAGACTTGCCTGATGTGGGTTTCCTAACAGTAAACTGACCGTTTTCTAATGCAAGCTGAACGTTCTTTAAGGACAGTGCATCTTCAGTTTGCTCTGCCATGGTAAAGCCCACTCTGAGGACTGTTATGCAGAAGATGTGTGAAAAAAAAAAAAAAAACATGAGCAGAAAGCCCTGATCATGCGTTCAGCATGTGTAACAGTCGTGAGCACTGGCTGCACTAGTGCTCAATTATAGTTGCATAAAATGGTACCGCAGAGCTTCCGAGATGCAAGTGTGTGCGTGTTCATATAGAACTATGAAGGAAGAGGTGTAGATTTAGCACTTTCGTTACCAAAAATAAGCATGTTTAAAAAACTAAATAAATAAATAAAAATTATCAGCGACAGGAGAGGACATCCTCACTACGCTGCTGCATAGGCCTACCTCACTGCACTGATCTGCTTTCCTTCTATCCCTGATGATGCTGGAGTTTGTACTCGGTGGTTACTCAAATTCCGTTGGGATCATTTCAGTCCTACAAAAACTACTATTGAGTAGTGCACATCCTAAAGATAATTTTACTTTTCTGGTGGACTGAAAAAAGGGAGTTATTCCTTGTGTTTTTGCATGAAACAACTATACCCTAACCACACCGAGAGCTTGGGATCATCAACCTAGATGCTCCATCTTAGAGACCTCTCTGTCTGACTACGAGATGAGAACCACAAACGGCACCAGATCATGTTTATATATCATGACTACATACATGTATGTGTAAATATATATTTTATAAACGCTAGATGCATTGTAATTTATTAATAGGATGAACAATGCAGCATTGTGTTTAATAATGGAGTATCTGTATTCAAACATGTTAGTGGTTACCAGGCAAAAGAGAGACTCAACTGATATTGAGAGAGTTTGCCTAATTGTGTGCGTTATGTTGATTAATATCTAAGAAATGCTAATGCTGTAGTAAATTAATATATTTTAAGGAAGTTTTATTGTATTATTACTACTATTCATTCATTCATTCATTCATTCATTTTCTTGTCGGCTTAGTCCCTTTATTATTCCGGGGTCGCCACAGCGGAATGAACCGCCAACTTATCCAGCAAGTTTTTACGCAGCTGATGCTCTTCCAGCTGCAACCCATCTCTGGGAAACATCCACAAACACACATTCACACACACACTCATACACTACGGACAATTTAGCCTACCCAATTCACCTGTATCGCACGTCTTTGGACTGTGGGGGAAACCGGAGCACCTGGAAGAAACCCACGTGGAGACAGGGAGAACATGCAAACTCCACACAGAAACGCCAACTGAGCCGAGGTTCGAACCAGCGACCCAGAGACCTTCTTGCTGTGGAGGCGACAGCACTACCTACTGCGCCACTGCCTCGCCTATTGCTACTTTATTACTAATATTTAAATTTACAATCTGTGATATTATACATCTCATATGCATGTATGCATGTTGTAAAGTGTGAGTGTGTTGAAAGCTTGTACTGTTGTCTGTTGAGAGACGCAAAACAGACTCGGCTGATATTAAGAGAGATTGCCTAATTGTGTGTTATGCAGAAGCAAAATGAAATCACCTTCACATGACCATGTTTGAGTCAAGCTTCTTTTTTAATAATAAAATAATGATTTTAACAACGCAGAGAAAAACCTTCATCTCTTCCGTCATAGTTCTATGCGACTGGATATGAACACACACACACTTGCAAATCGGAAGCTCACCGGTGCCATCTTGTACAAGTAGCCTATTAGAATGAGGAAATCACAGATACGCTATTCTGAAATAACGTCAGGACTCTACAGCCTGATCCCATTAAAATTACACCAGAGTTACCGACTGTTACGTGTTTATGATGTTAAAGTGGGATGCTGTAACATTTAAGTGAGACAGGTGTAATGTGTGCGACAGATCAAGAATGAGGCAAGGATCAGTTACTCTTATTTAAGCTTTTACTCAATATTGGAAAATTAGTTTAGAATCACACAACAACCATCATACTATGTTACTTAAAGCCAACGAAGTTCAACAAGCAAACTCGAATTATCACAGTAACAGATCAATCACAAAATAGATGAAGCATTTGCACAAACAAATTGCATGGAGCACAAAGGGTACCGCCGAGGCAGGGCGCACACCACACACTGGTCTGACAGGGCTTTAAATCCTTGCGGCTCGTCCTGGGATTGGTGGAACCGGACAGCGTCATAATGATGAAGGACAGAATAATAAACCAATAAGAAACCTAAGGGTTGAGCAAACGAAGAGGAGGGTGAAAAAAAAAGACAGAAAGAAAACATAAATCATAACACCGACCACTACCGCATTTTTAGGGAAATTTATTCCCACACCGCAAGAAATCTGGTTGGGTCCTGTGGTACATGAATGCAGACCTCTAAACCTACATGAAGTGTGGAGAACATGCAGAAATTCCAACTGGCCCAGTCGGGACTCAAAACAATGAACTTCTTGCTATGTAGCGACAGTGCCAACCACTGAGCCATCATTGCAAATATCAGTGTATTGAATTTGTTGTACATGGCTTCCAAGTGCAAACTGATGAACAGAGGGGAACCAGGTAAATTTGCTAGTTAAATGAGCTATATTAAAAAGACTTGTAACATCAAAATACCTTTAAGGCAAGTAATTTCACCCTGCGGCAATCTTTTAAATGCCTCTAAGTCAGTATGCTCGGGCACTCTGCTTGAATGGGGAAACATCAAATTCTTCAAAACTGTTAGTCAAGCTTACGATTACGATGCAGATTTGGAATCACCAATACATCTAAACAAAAACATAGGTCTCATAGGTTTTATTTCTAAACGCCAGAATTAAACAAAATCAGAATATTTTCAGGTTGTCCGAGCTAATGTGCATGCACACTCAAAAAGAAGGAGATCATGACACCAACCTCATTTATGGCTGATGCACATTATTATCCTGTGGATATTGATCGTCTGATCGCGCTGCTCTTCTGACGTAATTCACAACTTGGTCTTGATAGTGAATCTCTGGCAGAAATGACAGCAACTCTGTAAGTTTGTGGGTGTTCGAGTAGTTGCTGTGAAGTGATGTGCATTTCACAGGCGGGCTGTACCTCGTATTCATTTCATACAGATTACAAAATCAAAAAACTTTACTTTTAAATGAAGCAAGTGCACTTATAAAACAGAGTTTAAGCTTTATGTGGATATATTTCTTATGTCTGTGAAGCAAGTATTCACTGAGATTCCAGTGTGTTTGTTGATCAATAAACTGTTGTAATGTAAAAGCACCAGTCTGGTCCGAGTTTCTCCCCCCAAAAATCGTCAGTCTACAGCGATCGCTGATTGGCTTCTGTACTAGAAGGCGGGGCTTCATTTGCCATATTGACCGTTACACATTTCCTTATTCAAAACTATGCGAGTGACATGTCTCGTGTATTCTATAGTCTTTGGTAACATTACCAGATTATTCTTTTCAGCTTGTTACATTACAACGCCTTATATTTGCGTACATTCATCTGTTAATTAGGAGTACTTTAGAATCTTAATCTGAGTCTAAAGTGGTTTCTGTCCTTTAGGTGTGTTTGCTAAGAAACTAAAAGTGTCTGTGTCAGTGACTGAAGGAGATTCTGTTACTCTAAACTCTGGTGTTACTATAATACATTGGGAGAACATGCTGTGGAGTTTTGGAGCCGAAAACACTCTTATAGCTAAAATCAGCATTAAGGAGCAAATCTTCTCCACATTTGATGGCACTGACAGATTCAGAGACAGACTTAAGATGGACAGACAGACTGGATCTCTGACCATCACAAACATCACATCTGAAAATGCGGGAATTTATAATCTTGATATAAGCGGAAAAAAATGGCCATCAAAAATATTCAATGTTTCTGTTCATGGCGAGTAAAGTTCTTTAATCCTTCACAAATTCTTCAACAATTTACACTCAAACTCTGTACTGAAAATCTCTATTCTCATGTTTTCCAGCACGTCTGCTTGTTCCTGCCCTCATCTTCAACTCTTCTCTGTGTTCATCATCCCAGTATAATTATTCAGTGTTGTGTTCAGTGGTGAATGTGAGCGCTGTGAGTCTCTCCTGGTACAAAGGAAACAGTGTATTGTCCAGCATCAGTGTGTCTGATCTCAGCATCAGTCTCTCTCTACCTCTGGAGGTGGAATATCAAGATAACAACACCTACAGCTGTGTGATCAACAACACCATCAGCAACCAGACCACACATCTGGACATCAACACACTCTGCCAGCCGTGTCCAGGTATGTTGATTTTAACATTCAACCCCATGATTGTTAAACTACTATAAACAATCAGTAAAATGTTGTTGCTGTTTGTTTAACTGGGTACAATGAGTAGGTATTACTCTTCAACAGTTCATCCACTGAACGGGTGAGCAGCTATTCTGCTTTTTATGGGAAAGTATTTTACATTCTTTTTGTCTGCGCTATAATCGAACCCTAAAAATGTGCATTATGGTGCCAAATATGGGCAAACCCAATTGTTGTTTTTAATTTTAATTTAAAATAATGTAACCCAGCCGTTGTCCATATTTGACTCAAAGTTGAGTTCACAGTAAACACAATACACCACAATAAAAAAAGTCATAATAATTGCAATAGGTTGTTATTTATATATACGCAGCTCTAATGTTTTATTTGTTTCAACTCAAAATTTGGGTTTAAAAAAAGATTTAAATTTAATTAAAAAAATTAAATCCAACATTGGGTTTGTCAATTTATGACCCAGGTGGCGCAGTAAGTAGTGCTGTCGCCTCACAGCAGGAAGGTCGCTGGTTCAAGCTTCGCTGGGTCAGTTGGCATTTTTGTGTGGAGTTTACATGTTCTCCCAGTGCTGGTGTGGGTTTCCCCCACAGTCCAAACATATGCGTTATAGGTGAATTGAATAAACTAAATTGACTGCAGTGTATGTGTGTGAATGTGTGTGTATGATTGTTTCCCAATGATGGGTTACAGCTGGAAGGGCATCCGCTGCGTAAAACATAAGCTGGACCAGTTTGTGGTTCATTCTGCGGTGGCGACATTAAGAAAAGGACTAAGCCGAAAAGAAAATGAATGAATGAATTTATGATCCAACATTGGGTTAATACAACCCAGCATTTTAGTGACAAAATATTCAACTACAGTTTTGATTACAGACGATGAATGAGTGGACGGAGGAAAGGAGCCAGTGTGGAATAAAACGTCCAGCTCAAAGAGAAAAAGTTCAAAGTGCACTAATTTTAGTACATCCACTAAAATGGATGTAATGTTTGTCTAGACTAAAAAACTATCTGGATTCTTATAACCAAATGTTAGGTCAAATGTGGAAAAACCCAACCATTGGGTTTAAAAAATAAAATATTTAAAAATATTAAACAAGCGTTGTTGATAAAAAAAACAATAAAAAAAAAAACAATTTGAGATTGTACTTAAGCAAATGAAATGTAATTTCCCAGTCTGTTACTCTGTTGATTATAATCTGTAACTCCAATTAAGACTGTTCAGGTTTGATGGATGAACAATTTATTGTCAGTCTTAGAAATCTGTATAATCTGTGTCCAAAAGTGTCAATAATACGCTGCCTTCCTAAAACCTGTAAAAATAATCAATTAAAATAAAGGAGCTAATCTTATTTTCAATCCTCAAATCTAATTTAAATGAGGAAACATCTTTATTGCAAACTCTATTTTTGATTAAAGTAGAGGTTTATATTTTATAATATTATTAATACAAGTGTAAAAAGATTAGCAAGACAGTATCCATAAATGTTAAAGCAGCAGATTCTTATTGAGAGAGTGTGTGTGTGTGCCTAGTTTTTGTGGTGTAAAAATGGTTTAGCTGGCATGGCAATCATTGTATATAAAATATGAAGAAAATATGAAAAAGAAAATATTATTTCTTTCTGTTTGGAAAAAAAAACTTTTTTAAAAAATTGGAAAAAAAAAGATAAAAAAAAAAACTATTTTCATTTAGTTTTGGCCTGCTGTTAAAATTGTGCACGGGTCATTTTTGATCTGCAAGTCAACAGGAGAGAAAAGCTTAACTCAATTTTAAAGAAGATCTTGCAATGTGAAAATCTTTCAAAAATGCTGGATGCCATTTCAACCCAATTTGAGCAAATTATTGACACCTAAATGTTGGGTTAAATTGAGCATATAGTGTCAATAATAATAATAATAACCCAATGATTGATTGAGCACTTTTCTTTTTACCAAAATTGGGCTGATAGAATGGAACCCAATAGTATTAAGATAAGAGCACAAAGACCTCTCTTACACACTCTCTCTCTCTTAGACACACACACACAATACTTTATATAACACTTCACATAAAAGCCAGAAACTATGGACTGATGATCAACAGTAAGAAAAAAAATAAAGAAATAAAAAATGATTAAAAAAATATATAAAACTGTTCAAAAGAAAGCACAACGCCAAATGTACCTCACTTTTCACTACAGTATGTTACTGAATTATTTAAAGCATAATCCTATCACTTGATTTTTTCGTCTCAGTTCTTGTGATTGTAAATTTTCACACCAATTGCAACATAGTTTGACCCACAATAGTCGCATGCAGAAAAAGGTGAATGGGATACAGTGCAGCTGTTTGACTGTGTTGTCGATCAGACAGATTCATTTTCATCATTGACTTATTTTTATCTATTACAGATGAGGATCTGCATCTGTTCAACATTGTGTGGATTTGTGCTGCTGTTGGGTCTCTGTTGATTTTAGTGTCTGCCGTGATGTGCTGCATCTCCAAGAAATGTAGAAAAACAGGTTAGGTCTAAAATGTTTAAAGAAAATATTCACAAATATTATTGACATCATTGTTTTAACACATCTCTGTTTAATGCAGTTCATAACTGTGAGGAAGACCAATCTGATTCAACATTGTGTAAAGAAAAATCACGAAAAAAGGTAAGAAACTTCAATGACATCTAGCAATACGTTGGTGCAGTGTAAGTTAGTGCAGTTAAAGTTTGCTGATTGAAGTTTTGTGCTTGATGTGCATCAGAGAGTCAGTGAACAGCACTTGGCCAACTGTCATCATTTTTACCACTAAATACAGAACAGATCAAAAGAACAGTTTAAGCATGCTTTTACGTACATATGTGCCTATACTAAGCCCGAGTATGCCATTTTGCAAATTCTTTGCATTTTAAAAAAGGTATGTTTCATGTTGCGGATTATATAAATGTTTCAGAATTCTTTTTGTAACAAAAAAACAAAAAAAATCATTAAAAAGCTACTTAAATAATTACAGTAAAAATACATGTCTATAAAAAATGCATTGAACCTGTTTTTCATTTTTAATCAGTCCATTTCCTGCTATGTAACGGGTGTAGTGATGGTTTTTCATGGGCAGATTTAACCATTAAGCAAGCAGTCGCTTAGGCCCCCAGAACTCTTGCAGGACCACAATAAATATATAGATGTTTAAATAATATCTATAATCTATATATAATATTGCTATCTGTCCTATTTTATACAGTCAGAGTCAAGCTATTACAATTTTAACAATTAAATATTATTAATATATGATAAAATCAAATTTTAATAAATGTAATGTTACGTAATAATTTAATATATCCACGACCCCAATCTACGAGCAGTTCAGCAGTCAAATTTATAAAAACCACATATTTATTATTTATTTTTATTATTTTTAGTTTTAAACTCTTAAAAAAATAAATAAATAAAACAATTTAAATATAGTGATAACATGTAGAAAAGGAAATTGAGTGATATATATACAAAATAGATAATATAAAAATAAAATAACTCATAAAAATAAACAAATAAATAAAAATAAATAAATAAATAATAAATAAATAAATAAAAATAAATATAAATAAAAAATAAAAATAAATAAATAAATATATAAAAAAAGAAAACAGCAACGGTTTCAGAACAGCTGATCTGAGTTGGGTCAATCAACTGAGTAGACCAACTCAGAGTTAAGCGCGCGCACCACAACTAAAAAGGTATTATCAATGGAGCGCAGATTTTACGAGTGACTATTGCAATATCTTGCATAAGAGATCACCATTTCTTCTCCAGCTGAATTTGCCAGTATGAACAGTTAAAAGCAACACATGTCTGCAGCATGACGATATCGATCGGAACCTCTATAATGGCAGTCTATGGGACTGTTGCTAGAGTGCCGTATCTGGTTGTTAGGGGTGTGGCTAGAAAGTTAAAAGCTCATGAGTTATTGGTAGTTTGGTAGTCTGAGTTAAATGAGCCCAGTTAAAAGTCTGTGCGACAGTTTCATGTAGAGTTATGAGCTCACAAAGTTTGACCCAATGTAAAGTCAATGAGAGTTTCTAGGGTCCCAAAAGTGGTTGCTAGGGTGTGGCCAGAAAGTTAAAAGCTCATCAGTTATTGGCAGTTAGGTAGTCTGAGTTAAATAAGCCCAGTTAGAAGTCTGTTGGACAGTCTGATGCAGAGTTATGAGGTCACAAAGTTTGGTCCAATGTTAAGTCAATGGGATTTTTCCGACGGTCCCGGGACGTTTTTCGGAAAACCGAAAGTCGGATCAGTTGGAAAAGATATAGCAACCAGAGTCAAACCAGTTTGGAGGTCTGGTGTGAGTTTGGTGGTCATAGCTTGAAAGCTCTAGGAGGAGATAGAGTTTAATTTTTAGTCTCAGAAGAAAAATAGGATAACAATAGTCTGGCTTGCTACACAAGCCAGCCTAATTAATCTAGGCTACTTGTCCCTGTTGAAGGTCAGTGAATTTAAGCTTTATTTATTAAAAAAGGACAAGCCATTCTCGTCCACGACTTTGTTCTTTGTGTGACTGGAAATGTAGGCAATAGCTATGTTTCCATCGAATATTATTAATTAAATTTATGTGCAAAACTGGATTATCGCATAAAAGATATGTGCCAATTAAGCAGCATTTCCATCCAACGAGTCAAAGAGAACAAAATCGTCACTTCCTGATTAAACGGGCACCAAATATTAACAGTAAAAGCTGAATTTACTGCGGTAGAAGAAGCTGCGGCAGCGTCAATCTTTTCTATGTTTAATAAATGTACTTGCGCCTCAGAAGACAATGCTGACACACAATGAACATGTGGGGGCCTTTGAAGCCATGAGACGCGGAGAACAGAAGCTCTTGACATGCTCCAGACGCTCTGGAGGTCATTAATAAAATAAAACCATTAATACTGAAATGGTTAAGGATTTTTAGAATGAATGAGCAAAACAACATTTAAGATGTGTTACAGTGTGCTCAGCCTGCTGGTTTGTCCGTTCACACACATTTTCATCATCAAAAAACAAACCTTTTTTAAAATGTACATGATGAAATTTGTTCAGTAAAAGTGTTTTCATTGTAGTTTATGCGCATCTTTTCTATTGAATAAAAGTTTATCCTACTCAGTTATGTGCGGGTTTTTTATGCATATTTTAAAAAAGTTGTGTATCATGACGTTTCCATCAATCGTTTTTATGCACATCTCCAAAATGAGCATTAAAATAGGTGGGTGGAAACGTAAGGCTAAGGTGAGAAATACCGCTTTATCTTTAAAAAAGGGGAGGAGACCAACAAGAACTCAGAGTTTAGAGAATAAAACCTGCCCCTGACCAGGTTAGATTCACAGAGTAAGTGACCACGGTAACTGACTCTGAGTTAAAGTTACCTCTCGTTCAGAAACAGGCTTAATTTACTCTGCTTTGTCGAGTTTAACAAACCTGCCATTTTGAAACTGAAAGCCCAGAGTTTCTCTCATTTCAGGGTTAAAATACTCCGAGTTTTCACTTAACCTCCTTTCTGAAAAGGCCCCTGATCAACTTTGGGAGTAAAACACGTTTGGTTCTACATGTGTTTGGGATTAGCAGCCTATACTGAATAAATTATTTTTATAGTATAATAATACATTATCATTATTATTAGAAAAGCAATGTAATTTAGAGAGAAATATAGACTGGCCTATACATTTTCTGTTGTTATAACATAAGATTTCTGACTGAGTTTTTTTTTTTCCTTGCAGAAATCAGACATGCAGGCTGTTTATTACAATGTCCCTAAAAGACGGTGATAGTATCTAGCCTATAGGCTTACTAGAACCAGTGTAAGAGCTCAGCTTTCATCTTTCATCAATCCTTTTGGTTTCATTTCAACGCTTACTTTCTGCACAGATAACTGTTTTGTTTTGTCCTTGCATATTTGGTGTAATATTATTATTATAAATTTATTGTAATCATTTTGTTTGTATTTATAAGTTTAACCAATAGCACTTAGAAATGTAACTGTAATGTAAATGTAATGTAAATGTAAAAAAAAATCTATTTGAGTTTACTGTGTGTATAAATGTACATTAGCTATTAAATACTGGTCACATCCTTCACTTTATTTCTTTCTGTTATTAACTGTTATGGTTTTTATTATTTTTTCAAACAACTAATTGAATATGGAGAATCGCAATGTTGTTTACATCATAAGACATTATCAAACGTATGGAACAAAATCAATGCCAAAAGTCTTGAATTAAAAAGCTTGTTGAATATCACAAACTGAAAAAAATAATACACCATATTAACAAGTTCTTGCATTTTAATGACTTGAATTCCAGGGTTTGTATTTTTAGGTCCTGAAATTTAACATATCTGTTTATTTAAGCTTTGAATATTTCAACGAAAAATATTTCAAACACGTTTTCATACTTAAAAATTCAATAATTCATATTCAATTTTCAGATTTCACTTACAAAATATTCAATGCCCTTTAAAAATACGATGTATAATATTCAAATGGTAATTTTCAGTTCATTTTATTTCAGTTCAAATATTCGCTTCCATAAATTCAGTGGATCAAATTCGACTGTTAAAATTCAACATTACATCCGGGAACTGCAGGAAAAGCAATAGATTGCAGATTGAAGATCGCCAGCTGCTCTAGCTTTCACCAGCAGGTAGAGATGGAATAATGTAAGATTTTTAACCCAGTAAACAGGCGAGAAAAAGGCTATTAAAGGCACAAAAGTAGCATTTAATATTAATATCAATGCTTTGGACATTATAAATGATAAAAAGTATGAGTAAAATGCGTAAATGAGGTTTTAGTCATCTATATTTGCCCTTATGTAACGGAAGCCAGCTGGTGATCGCGTAAATCTCAGTTCTCCGATCCAGTGACAGACGTTGTTCTGCAATCTTATCGGAGCTTGTCTCCCATGCCAGCTCGCTCCCTGCTCGGACCGGTGCAGTTACTTGCACATAAACCGTCTTTTGATGAATATGATGTTACACATTTTCTATCTTTATTGACTCTTTCTTCCATAGACGTGAAGTATTATATTGAAAGAATATAAACGTAAGAGAAACAGGAGAGGAAATATTATAATAATACAAAATAGATAAACATTGACAGGGCTAAGAACAATTACGAACAAAGATATTCAAAAGCAGAGAGATTTTATGAGAATGTCACACAAAACAGTTTACTTAGAACTGTTAAACAGTGCAGGTATGATTTAAGGTTGGTTATGGATGGGGCGTCTGATTTAAAATAATTTAACAAAACGTGCGAATGCATTAAAGGAGCGTCTTCAGTTATTATTTAAACGCAGCTATGTCTGGATTGGGATAGGTTATATAATTCCATTATTTAAATTATGATTGTTAATATTAACATTTTATGACGTGTATTTGGGCTATTGCGCTTAAATAAGTCATCCTTCTAAATTAATATTTCTATCCTTTTTATCACTCTGCCTGTCTTTCTCTTCTTTTTTTCTAATTATTGGGGTTCTGCCACGTTTGCAAAATGTCTTAGTTTGTCCAGAATATTGCTTTTCCTCTAAAATAGAGACGAAGCAGAAGGAAAATGAATGAATTGATGAATGAATGAAATGATTGACGTTTTTTTGCATGTGCGGTGTGGCTTGCACACGACAAAGTCGAACGAG